TTGTTCTCTGATTCTCTGGCTCGGGGAGGGATGCTGAGGACGAGGAGGGAAGGGGAGCGCAGGATGACGAGGGCTCGAGAGGAGGAAGGAGACGAAGTAGGTGAAGGAACACAAGGAGGAACACACCGAAGAGCGGGGAAGACAGGGAGGAGGAGGAAGAAGAGAAGGAGGAGGTGAAGGAACAGGGATCCCTTTCAGGGAGACGCCGACGAGGAAAATGATGAGTATAAGATGATGGGAAGAGGGAGAATGGGAAGTGGAGGAGGGTAAGGGGACTGCAGTGGACAGGGGATGAGGACGGCGATGACGCTGATGACGATGACGATGATTATGCCGACGACGACGCCGACGACGGACATCAATATGTTGTTGATAATGCGGATGGTGATGCTGAAAAGTACGATGACGATGATGGCGATGGTGATCACGATGCTGATGGTAATGGTGATACTGATGATCGTTGTGATGGTGACGGTGAAGATGACGATGACGATGACGATGAAGGTGGCGGGGATGAGGATGACAATGATGACGACGATCATGACTCTAGCTAGAACTTGAGCGCGCGCGAAGCGCGCGATGGTTCTAGTATATATATATATATGTATGGTATCTTTGGGCCAACGCCCTTCTGTAGGAGGTCATGCCCGAAATAACCCTGGCAGCCCGCGGAGGAACGGCGGCCGCGGCCGCAGGACGCGGCCCGTGCACGCGGCCAGCGCGCGCGCGCGCGTTCGGCCACGGGGGCGGGAGCACCCACCGTGCGCGCGGAGTCGGGCGCAGGGCGACTTGCGCCCCACGGTGCGCCGCCGCGCCTGCGCCGCGCCGGCGCGCCGCGCGAGTGGGCGCGCCGCGCTGCACGGCGAGTCTCTTTGGATGTCTCTGTGCGGGCTGAGCTCAGCCGCAGCTGGCGCAGCAGGCGGCCTCGGCTCTCTGTGGGCCAGCGCGCGGGAGCGACGTGCCCCCCCCCCTCCTGAGATGATGGAGTTTTGGGTGTGCTATTGATGTGGTGTTGCCAGTATCCGTCGGGGTAGGATTTGGACATCGAGATGTAGAGAGAGAGGGAGAGAGAGAGAGAGAAAAACAAAAAAAAAAGAGAACGAGAGGACAAACACAACAGACAACATATGCATAAAGAGAGAGAGAGAGAGAGAGAGAGAGAAAGAGAGAGAGAGAGAGAGAGCGAGAGAGAGCGAGGGAGAGAGGGAGAGATGGAGAGAGATGGAGAGAGAGAGTTGCCCAGCTGCTTGTGGCAAGTCCCGCCACCGTGCCTGGCTTTTGGGTAGGAAGCCTATTGGATGTTCGTCGGGAACTCGTGGGAGGCCTTTGGGGGGCCTCTCGGTGGCAGTCTTGAGGCCTCTTGGGTGCTGTTCTGAGGCATCTTGGGGCCTCTGTTGGGGTCCTCTTGGGGCCTCCTGGGGGCCTCTTGCGGCCTCTTGAGGGCCTCTTGGGCGCCTCGTGCGGCCTCCTGGGGGCCTCTTGGGGCGGCGGGCTCGGATTTTCGTTTCGTGTTCCCTCTCTTGGGCCCCTTGTGGGGCCGTCTTGGGGCCCTCTAGGGCCGTCTTGGGGGCCTCTTGGGCGTGCTCTTAGGCCGGCGTGGGGCCCTCTTGGAAGCCTCTTGGGCAGTTTGGGGGTGGTCTTTGGGGCCTCTTGGGCCGTCTTGGAGCGTCGGGAAGCCGAAAAGGCGGGAACGCCAAAATCTGTCAGAAACACCAGGGGTTACTGATTTTTGCCTCTTGGGGCACTTGGGAAACCTCTTGGGGGCCTCTTGGGGCGTCTTGGTTGGGGCATGTTGAGGCCATCTTGGATCGTTTGGGGGGCCTCCTGGGCCGTCATGGAAACAGGAGGAACAGGAGGAGGGGGGATGATCAAACCGCGAGGAAGAGGACACGAGCGTTCCAAGGAGGCTGGCTCCCACATCCCCTTCCTCATCCTCGTTCTCTCACTCCTTGTTCTCCTCGTTCTCGTCTGCGTCGTTGTTCTGCTCCTCGCCCCTCTCCCACTTCTCACTCTCTGCTTCCGCTTTCGCCCTTGACATTTCCGCCTCCGCTTCCTTTCCCCCGTCTTCCTCCTCCTTGTTTGTCGTCCCAGTCGTCCGTCGTCCGTCGTCGTCCTCCTCGTCCTCTTCTCCTCTTCTCCTCTTCTCCTCCACTTCTTCTCCTCCTCCCCCTCCCCCTCCCCATCCTCCTCCTCCTGCTCCTCCTCCTTTTCCTCCCCTCCTCTTCCCCCTCCTCCTATCCTCTCCTCCTCCTCCTCCTCCTCCTCCTCCCTCCTCCTCTCCTCCCCCTCCTCCTCCCTTCTCCTCCTCCTCTCCTCCTCCTCCTCCTCATCCTTCATCCTCCTGCTCCTCCTCCTCTCCTACTCCTGCTCCTCCTCCTCCCCTCCTCCTCCTCCCTCCTCCCTCCTCCTCCTCCTCCTCCTCCCTCCTCCTCCTCCTCCTCCTCCTCCTCCTCCTCCTCCTCCTCCTCCCCCTCCCCGTCCGTGCTGGCCGCTCGAGGAGCTGATGCGGCTGCGCGTCTTCCGCCGCAAGGCCGCGGGGCCGCCGAGCCGCTCCGCCGCCCTGCGCTCGACGCCCTCACCGCTCGACCGCCTGCCTCTCCCAGGGCCGACTGCGGGCAATACTTCTGTCCATGTCCACTGCGACATGGAGTTCCGGGTTCCCTTCCCCAGAAGCCAGAGGCGCGCTGGAGAAGGGCGAGTTTGCCCCCTCGAGGCTCGATTTCTATCCACATCCAGTGCGCCTCGGCCTTGTGATGCTCCTTCCCAACAAATCCACGACGCACTGGATATGGATACGAACCTTGCCCGCACCGACGAGCCTTCAGAGGAGGAAGAGGTTCCCATGCCTCTACCCTTCCCTCGCTCTCCCTGGGAGGTGCCATGGCGCCAACGTCGCAGAGCGGACCTCGTTCGGGAAGCGACGGGATGGGCCCGGAGTGTCCTGGAGAGTGTCGCTTCGGATTTCGAGGCGAATCTCGCGCTTTTTTCGGGCCAGGAATGAAGACGAAACATATCCACGCGAAATGAACTTCGTTTCTCACTTGCCGCTTCGGGGTCTGGCATTTACAGAAATCCGCGCAAAATCCGCTGCAGCACGTCTGCATGGTCGGTGCAGCGAAACCTTCAGAGGAGGACTCGGAGGTTGATAGACTTCCTACCCTGACACGTCGATTAGTGAATTGGCCGACTTCGGTTCGCGAGAGGGCGTCGCGGCCGTTATTTTTGCGGGTCCTAGGCCGCTTTCACGAAAGTGTGGTTTATGCAAGGGAGATTTGTCCAAAGGTTCCCATGCCTCTACCTTTCGGGAATCGAACCGCGGGTCTGGGCCTGTCGGTGGTGTGTGTGCGCGTGTGTGTGTGTGTGTGTGTGTGTGTGTGTGTGTGTGTGTGTGTGTGTGTGTGTCTGCGTCTGTGTCTGTGTCTGTGTCTGTGTCTGTGTCTGTGTCTGTGTCTGTGTCTGTGTCTGTGTCTGTGTCTGTGTCTGTGTCTGTGTCTGTGTCTGTGTCTGTGTCTGTGTCTGTGTCTGTGTCTGTGTCTGTGTCTGTGTCTGTGTCTGTGTCTGTGTCTGTGTCTGTGTCTGTGTCTGTGTCTGTGCCTGTGCCTGTGCCTGTGCCTGTGTCTGTGTGTGTGTGTGTGTGTGTGTGTGTGTGTGTGTGTGTGTGTGTGTGTGTGTGTGGGGGGCTCCGAGGCTCCTTGGGTTAAGTCGGGCGCGTCCCCCTGCAGGAGGAGTATTCAGAGATAGTCCAAAAATAGTCAGGGGACGATATGTTTCCATTATTATTTGCTATTACTGAATATGGTTGGCCAATTTTTCATGTTTCGTCCACAATCCGAGTGTAGGGGGACATGCCCGACCTAACCCTCGGGTCAGCCTCTGGACCGCCTGGGGCCTCCTGGGGCCATGCAGGAGGCCAGATCGAGCCAGTTTGGATCATCTTGTGCCAGCGAGAGGCCATCTTGAGGCGTGTGGGGTCATCTTGGAGCCATCGTGTGGTGACTTGTGTCGTGGTGAGTATGCCTCTGATGCGTGTGCGCGGCTCGTGCGTGCGAAGCATGTGTGTGCATATGTTTAGTGTGCGTATGTATGATGCGTGTGTGAGCCTGGAGGGGGAGTGGTGAGGAGGGGTGAGGAGGGGATGTTGGTGAACGCGGGTGCCGCGCAGGTGGGGAGAATGCCCAAACCCCATTTCACATGTGCAGACAAAGGGGTAGGAGGAGGTGAGGAGAAGAGGAGGAGAGGGGAAGTTGTGGCTGGGACGCGGGTGGGAAGAAATCAGTACATCCATGAAGCATGTGGGGCATGATCGTGGAGCGCCCGCGCATGATCCAGATTCTAGTGCACAGTGCACTTTGCTTTGTTTTTTGCGATGGACGGCGGGGGGAGTGGCATTGCGCACAGCAAGCAATGGGCCTGCATCCCTGTCGTACCTGTCAACAGCCAATGTAATGTGATCGCAGGGCGTTCTCGCATGATCCAGATGTTGATGCAGTCTGCATGTCGTCCTGTTTTTCCCAACCATCCTGTGGTGTTGGGTCTTGTTTTGAAGAGACGGTCCCCGCGTTCTCCTTCTCTCCTCCTCTTCCCCCTCCTCCTCCACCGTCCGCATGCGTCCCGCACACCCAGTACAGCGTTTCGTCGCCCTCCTCCCCCTCCTCCCTGCGTTTCACCCACCCAGTACAGCGTTTCGTGGCCCCATCGGGAGCCCCACCGAAGGTCCCAGTGCTACCGTCCGCATGCGTCCCGTACACCCAGTACAGCGTTTCGTGGCCCCATAGGGAGCCCCACCGAAGGTCCCAGTGCTACCGTCCGCATGCGTCCCGTACAGCCAGTACAGCGTTTCGTGGCCCCATAGGGAGCCCCACCGAAGGTACCAGTGCTACCGTCCGCATGCGTCCCGCACGCCCAGTACAGCGTTTCGTGGCCCGAAAGGAAGCTCCACCGAAGGTCCCAGTGCTACCGTCCGCATGCGTCCCGTACACACAGTACAGTGTTTCGTGGCCCTCCTCCCCTTCCTCCCTGCGTTTCACCCACCCAGTACAGCGTTTCGTGGCCCCATCGGGAGCCCCACCGAAGGTCCCAGCGCTACCGTCCGCATGCGTCCCGCACACCCAGTACAGCGCTTCGTGGCCCCATAGGGAGCCCCACCGAAGTTCCCAGCGCTACCGTCCGCATGCGTCCCGCACACCCGCGTTTCGTAGCCCTCCTCCTCCTCCTCCCTGTGTTTCACCCACCCAGTACAGCGTTTCGTGGCCCCATAGGGAGCTCTACCGAAGGCCCCAGTGCCCCCCTCTGCATGCGTCCCGGAAGCCCAATTATGCATTTTGGCCCACCCAGTGCGGCGTTTCGAGGCCCCACAGGGGCCTCCACCCAAGGCCCCAGTGCCACCGTCCGTATGTGTCCGGAAAATGTAATTTGGCATTTTCATCAGCGCAGTGCAGCGTTTCGTGGCCCCTTAGGGGGCTCCACTTGGCTCCACCGAAGCCCCCCGTGGGACCGTCCGCATGCGTCCCGGTAACCCAAGTTAGCATTTTCACTCACTCAGTAGAGCGCTTCGTGGCCCCATAGGGAGCTCCACCGAAGCCCTCAGTGGGACCGTCCGCATGCGTCCCGGAAACCCAATTCGGCAGACCACCCACACAGTACAGCATTCCCCCCCGCCCAGTGCAGCGCTTCGTGGCCCCATAGGGAGCTTCACCGAAGCAGACATTCACAATTTCGGTACCCACAACTGCATATGGTTGGGACCTTCGCCAGGATAATTTTGTGCAAGGGATGGTGGGGGGGCAGTGTCCTGGGTTTGTCGCCGGTCGGGTGGGGGAGGGGGTGACGCTTCCCCGAAGGGGCAGAAAGGGTGTGTGGCAGAGGCATTTCCTTGGGCTACTCACGCCCAGAGGGCTGGTGGGATTACTGTCGCCCTTTCTGGACACTGCCAGACGCAGAACAAGTGCTGCCAGTTGCCTGCTGTCCTGGGGGTCCAGTGGAGTCTGGCTATTCACACGCAGTCCCAGACCAGCTGGAGGGCATTCCGCAGGGGCGCCACGAATGCCATATTCAGGACAAAGTGCTTCCCGCCGATTCTGGCTCAAGCAACATCCTGATCTGGTGCTTGCATCACACGATACTTCACTGGCTAGCTAACTCTTCTGTCGTTCGCGGAAGCAACCTGCTTCGATCTGTCTGATGATGGCGGCCCAGAAGGCCTCCTGCATCGTGTGGTTGGTCGGGCTGCTGGCCCACAGCGTGCCCACCGCAGTGTCTCTCTACACGGGGCCCACTCTCAGCGTGACGGGAGATCTGATGACGTCACCCGCGACTGAGACCTCTGCGTGGTCCTGCACCTCGGTCGGGGCGGGCAGCTTCTCCGCCCAGTACAACTCCTACATCTCTGGCAGCACCATCGTTGTTACCAACAATGCGGGAAGCCAGCGGGGGCGAGCATACTACACGTGGGCAAACACGGGGGGGTTCAGGATCAGCTTCGACATGTACCAGGGCGGTGGGACAGGCGCAGACGGCGTGGTATTGCAGACTCTGCCCCGCAGGGGGCGCCTGTGCTGTCGCGGGGACGGGGCGTTGTGCCGCGCCCCTGCCGGGGGCCCTGTGCTTGCCGCGGGGAGGGGGCGTGTGCGTGGTGCTGTCCCGCGGCACATTCGTGCTGTTCCCCGCAAGGGGGCGCCTGTGTTGCCGCGGGAATACGGGGGGGGGGATCCTGCGGCGCGGAGCCTGGCCCACGCGGGCGCCTGCGGATCGGCGAGCGAAGCCAACCCTGGGGCCGTCGGCGCGCGCAGATCTGAGCGGAGCGCCCGCGCGGGCCGGGGCCCTGCGCCTGCCCCGGAGGCCGGGCCTCCGGGGCCCCGGCTCCCCTGATGCCCCGGAGCTGCGCGACGCGACGCCACCAGGGGCTCGGCTCTCCGTCCGCAGACGCCCGCGAGGTCCCGCCTCGGCGCGTGCCCAGGGCCGTGCAGGATCCGGTGCGCCGCCTGCACGACCCCCCCCCCGCGACAACACGACACCCCTCTGCGGGGGACGACGCAATGATTATTGCCGCCCCTTTCCCCGCGGCAGCACAGCAGTACCCCGCCTGCGGGGGACAATGACAAACGAGTGCTCCTCCCCGCGACAATGCCATACCCCCCGCGAAGGCGGTGCAATAACATGCCGTGTAGGCGCTGACGGTATGTGCATGAAGTACGGAGGTTATGATTATGGCGAACAAGGCGAGCTAATCGCCGGGAATGGCTTTTCTGTATGCTTTGATTCCTACAGCAATGGCAACGATCATGGCGTGGTGATGGGATGGAATGGCGTGATCATATTTTCAGAAACAGGCACGGGATACTGGAGTCACCAAGTTCCCCTCTTCGAGGATTCCACTTGGCACAATGTAGTGGTGCAGGTCACGCCCAGTGGCAGCGGAGCTAATGTGATACTGAATTTTGACAACGGTTACTACTACAAAACTGCGTGGATCAGTAGCTTCTCCTCGCCAGTTGGTAGCCAACAGGTAGCCTTCACTGCAAGAACTGGTGGTGCTACCAACTGGCTCTATGCCAAGAACGTCCAGGTGTGCAGCGTTGCGACTCCGAGCCCAACGCCGTACCCGACGCCGTACCCGACACCGTACCCGACTCCCAACCCGACGCCCAACCCGACGCCCAACCCGACGCCCAGGTGTGCAGCGTTGCGACTCCGAGCCCAACGCCGTACCCGACGCCGTACCCGACACCGTACCCGACTCCCAACCCGACGCCCAACCCGACGCCCAACCCGACGCCGTACCCGACGCCGTACCCGACGCCGTACCCGACGCCGAACCCGACGCCGAACCCGACGCCGCACCCGACGCCGCACCCGACGCCCAACCCGACGCCCAACCCGACGCCGTACCCGACGCCGTACCCGACGCCGTACCCGACGCCGTACCCGACGCCCAATCCGACGCCGTACCCGACGCCGTACCCGACGCCGTACCCGACGCCGAACCCGACGCCGAACCCGACGCCGAACCCGACGGCCAACCCGACGCCGTACCCGACGCCCAACCCAACGCCGTACCCGACGCCCAATCCGACGCCCAACCCGACGCCCAACCCGACGCCGTACCCGACGCCGTACCCGACGCCGTACCCGACGCCGTACCCAACGTCGTACCCGACGGCCTTCCCGACGCAGTACCCGACTGCCTTTCCGACGCCGTACCCGACACCGTACCCGACGCCGTACCCGACGGCCTTTCCAACGCCGTACCCGACGGCCTTCCCGACGCCGTACCCGACGGCCTTTCCGACGCCGTACCCGACGGCCTTTCCAACGCCCTTCCCGACGCCGAGCCCGACGCCCAGCCCGACGTATCCTCCAGGTTGGCCGACGCCACATCCGACGTTTCCCGCGGCGCCGGTGGCTGGTGGCGCAGCTGGCGGAGGCGCGGCTGCCACTGGCGACCCACACCTTCAGAACGTTCATGGCGAGCGGTTCGATCTGATGCAGCCGGGCACACATGTTCTGATAACCATTCCCCGTGGGATGAGCGCTGAGAATGCAATGCTTCGTGTGCAAGCCGATGCGCGCCGACTGGGCGAACGTTGCGCGGACATGTACTTCCAGCAGGTGAACGTTACAGGGTCTTGGGCGGAGGCCAAGCGAGCTGGAGGGTATCACTACAGCGTATCACAGACCGCAGCCGATACTCCAGAATGGGTTGCTTTTGGTACGGTTCAGCTGAAAATCGTTCATGGACGTACGGGCAATGGCCTCCAGTATTTGAATGTTTACGTCAAGCATTTAGGGCGAGCAGGGCTTGCCGTAGGAGGTCTGCTTGGCGAAGACGACCACAGGGACGTGATGATTCCACCAGCGTCTTGTGTCAAGCATACGTCCCTGCTAGAAGTGAGCAGCCAGACTCTTCCCTCCGTGTCGTCGGTTGCAATGGCAACCTTCGCGTGAGCATGCGATGCATTTTGGAAGATTAGTACAGGAGACTTAGGGATGGTCTTTTGTTCTGTGTCCGGGTCCGACCATTTCGTGGCGCCAACGACTTCCCACACTTGGTTTCAGGATCTGGTGGTAAGTTTTCGTTTGGGTTCGCATTATACTAGCAGAAATTGCAACGTGTTGAATGCCATACATTATAACGCGTGGCGTGACAGTACTAGTGAGAGTACTATCACGCCGTTGGCTGTTCCCTACCTGACTTCCACTGGATCTCACTGACATCATCACGCGGATCACTTGTCGATCGTCATGTTTCCCCATTGCGTGTCGAGATTCACTCGAAGGCAGATGTCCCGGAGAGGTGCCCTGATCAGGGAGGCGTCTGAGCAAGCGCAGTGGACCAGGGGGGTGGGCGGGGGCCAGCCGTCAGTTCGCAGCTCGGGATGGGATCCGTCCGAGCAAGCCGAGGACTACATTCCAGGCCTCCGATGTGGAGCCACGCGAAATTCACTTCGTTTTTCAGTCGCCGCTTCGGGGTCTTGCATTGACAGAAATCCGCGCAAAAATCCGCTGCAGCACGTCTGCCAGGTCGGTGCAGCGAAACCTTCAGAGGAGGACTCGGAGGTTGATCGACCTCCTACCCTAACACGTCGATCAGTGAATTGGCCGTTTTCGGTTAGCGAGAGGGCGTCGCGGCCGTTATTTTTGCGGGTCTTAGGCAGTTTTCACGAAAGGGTGGTTTATTAAAGGGAGGTTTGTCCCACCGCCGAAGGAAAAGGTTCTCATGCCTCTACCTTTCGGGAATCGGACCGCGGGTCTGGGCCTGTCGGTGGTGCTTGTGCGTGTGTGTGTGTGTGTGTGTGTGTGTGTGTGCGTGTGTGTTTGTGTGTGTGTGTGTGTTTGTGTGTGTGTGTGTGTTGGGGGGCTCCGAGGCCCCTTGGGTTAAGTCGGACGCGTCCCCCTACAGGAGGAGTATTCAGATATAGTCCAAAAATAATTAGGGGACGATCTGTTTCCGTTATTATTGGCTATGTTTGAATATGTGTTTTTTTTTCTTGTCTACAGTCCGCTTGTAGGGGGACATGCCCGACCTAACCGTTGGGTCAGCCTCTGGGCCGCCAGGGGCCTCCTGGGGCCATGCAGAAGGCCAGATCGAGCCAGTTTGGACCATCTTGCGCCAGCAAGAGGCCATCTGAGGCGTGTGGGGTCATCTTGGAGCCATCGTGCGGTGACTTGTGTCGTGGTGAGTATGCCTCTGATGCGTGTGCGCGGCTCGTGCGTGCGAAGCATGTGTGTGTGCATATGTTTAGTGTGCGTATGTATGATGCGTGTATGAGCGTGGAACGGGGTGAGGAGGGGTGAGGAGGGGATGTTGGTGAACGCAGGTGCCTCAAAGGTGGTAAGAATTCCAAATCCCCACTTCACATGTGCGGACAAAGGGGTAGGAGGAGGTGAGGAGAAGAGGAGGAGAGGGGAAGCCGTGGCTGGGACGCGGGTGGGAAGAGCACAGTACATCCATGAAGCATGTGGGGCATGATCGTGGAGCGCCCGCGCATGATCCAGATTCTAGTCCACAGCGCACTTTGCATAGTTTTTTGCGATGGACGGCGGGGGGGTGGGGTGGTGTTGCGCACAGCAAGCAATGGGCCTGCATCCCTGTCGTACCTGCCAACAACCAATGTACTGTGATCGCAGGGCGTCCTCGCATGATCCAGATGTTGATGCAGTCTGCATGTTGTCCTGTTTTTTTGTGCAAGGGATGGTGGGGGGGCAGTGTCCTGGGTTTGTCGCCGGTCGGGTGGGGGAGGGGGTGACGCTTCCCCGAAGGGGCAGAAAGGGGGTGTGGCAGAGGCATTTCCTTGGGCTACTCACGCCCAGAGGGCTGGTGGGATTACTGTCGCCCTTTCTGGACACTGCCAGACGCAGAACAAGTGCTGCCAGTTGCCTGCTGTCCTGGGGGTCCAGTGGAGTCTGGCTATTTACACGCAGTCCCAGACCAGCTGGAGGGCATTCCGCAGGGGCGCCACGAATGCCATATTCAGGACAAAGTGCTTCCCGCCGATTCTGGCTCAAGCAACATCCTGATCTGGTGCTTGCATCACACGATACTTCACTGGCTAGCTAACTCTTCTGTCGTTCGCGGAAGCAACCTGCTTCGATCTGTCTGATGATGGCGGCCCAGAAGGCCTCCTGCATCGTGTGGTTGGTCGGGCTGCTGGCCCACAGCGTGCCCACCGCAGTGTCTCTCTACACGGGGCCCACTCTCAGCGTGACGGGAGATCTGATGACGTCACCCGCGACTGAGACCTCTGCGTGGTCCTGCACCTCGGTCGGGGCGGGCAGCTTCTCCGCCCAGTACAACTCCTACATCTCTGGCAGCACCATCGTTGTTACCAACAATGCGGGAAGCCAGCGGGGGCGAGCATACTACACGTGGGCAAACACGGGGGGGTTCAGGATCAGCTTCGACATGTACCAGGGCGGTGGGACAGGCGCAGACGGCGTGGTATTGCAGACTCTGCCCCGCAGGGGGCGCCTGTGCTGTCGCGGGGACGGGGCGTTGTGCCGCGCCCCTGCCGGGGGCCCTGTGCTTGCCGCGGGGAGGGGGCGTGTGCGTGGTGCTGTCCCGCGGCACATTCGTGCTGTTCCCCGCAAGGGGGCGCCTGTGTTGCCGCGGGAATACGGGGGGGGGGATCCTGCGGCGCGGAGCCTGGCCCACGCGGGCGCCTGCGGATCGGCGAGCGAAGCCAACCCGCGCAGCTCCGAGCGGAGCGCCCGCGCGGACCGGGCCCTGCGCCTGCCCCGGGGCCGGGCCTCCGGGGCTCCGGCTCTCTGGCCACGCGGGCCCCTCCTGATGCCCCGGAGCTGCGCGACGCGACGCCACCAGGGGCTCGGCTCTCCGTCCGCAGACGCCCGCGAGGTCCCGCCTCGGCGCGTGCCCAGGGCCGTGCAGGATCCGGTGCTCCGCCTGCACGACCCCCCCCGCGACAGCACGACACCCCTCTGCGGGGGACGACGCAGTGATTGCCGCCCCTTTCCCCGCGGCAGCACAGCAGTACCCCGCCTGCGGGGGACAATGACAAACGAGTGTTCCTCCCCGCGACAATGCCATACCCCCCTCGAAGGCGGTGCAATACCTTGCCGTGTAGGCGCTGACGGTATGTGCATGAAGTACGGAGGTTATGATTATGGCGAACAAGGCGAGCTAATCGCCGGGAACGGCTTTTCTGTATGCTTTGACTCCTACGACAACGGCAACGATCACGGCGTGGTGATGGGATGGAATGGCGCGACCATATTTTCAGAAACAGGCACGGGATACTGGAGTCACCAAGTTCCCCTCTTCGAGGATTCCACTTGGCACAATGTAGTGGTGCAGGTCACGCCCAGCGGCAGCGGTGCTAATGTGATACTGAATTTTGACAACGCTTACTACTACAAAACTGCGTGGATCAGTAGCTTCTCATCTCCAGTTGGTAGCCAACAGGTAGCCTTCACTGCAAGAACTGGTGGTTCCACCAACTGGCACTATGCCAAGAACGTCCAGGTGTGCAGCGTTGCGACTCCGAGCCCAACGCCGTACCCGACGCCGTACCCGACGCCGTACCCGACGCCCAACCCGACGCCCAACCCGACGCCGTACCCGACGCCGTACCCGACGCCGTACCCGACGCCGAACCCGACGCCCAATCCGACGCCGTACCCGACGCCGTACCCGACGCCTTTTCCGACGCCGTACCCAACGTCGTACCCGACGGCCTTCCCGACGCAGTACCCGACTGCCTTTCCGACGCCGTACCCGACACCGTACCCGACGCCGTACCCGACGGCCTTTCCAACGCCGTACCCGACGGCCTTCCCGACGCCGTACCCGACAGCGTTTCCAACGCCGTACCCGACGGCCTTTCCAACGCCGTACCCGACGGCCTTCCCGACGCCGTACCCGACGGCGTTTCCAACGCCGTACCCGACGGCCTTTCCAACGCCCTTCCCGACGCCGAGCCCGACGCCCAGCCCGACGTATCCTCCAGGTTGGCCGACGCCGCATCCGACGTTTCCCGCGGCGCCCGTGGCCGGCGGCGCAGCTGGCGGAGGCGCGGCTGCCACTGGCGACCCACACCTTCAGAACGTTCACGGCGAGCGGTTCGATCTGATGCAGCCGGGCACACATGTTCTGATAAACATTCCCCGTGGAATGAGCGTTAAGAATGCAATGCTTCGTGTGCAAGCCGACGCGCGCCGACTGGGCGAACGATGCGCGGAGATGTATTTCCAGGAAGTGAACGTTACAGGGTCTTGGGCGGAGGCCAAGCGAGCTGGAGGATATCATTACAGCGTATCGCAGAGCGCAGCCGATACTCCAGAATGGGTTGCTTTTAGTACGGTTCAGCTGAAAATCGTTCATGGACGCACGGGCAATGGCCTCCAGTATTTGAACGTTTACGTCAAGCATTTAGGGCGAGCAGGGCTTGCCGTAGGAGGTCTGCTTGGCGAAGACGACCACAGGGACGTGATGATTCCAACAGCGTCTTGTGTCAAGCATACGTTCCTGGCAGAAGTGGGCAGCCAGACTCTTCCCTCCGTGTCGTCGGTTGCAGTGGCAACCTTCGCGTGAGCATGCTATGTACTTTGGACGATTAGTACGCGAGAGTTAGGGATGGTCTTTTGGCCTGTGTCCGGGTCCGACTCTTTCTTGGCGCCAACGACTTCCCACATTCGGTTCCAGGAGCTGGTGGTAAGTTTTCGTTTGGATTCGCATTACACTATCAGAATTACAGCGTGTTGAATGCCATACATTATAACGCGTGGCGTGACAGTACTAGTGAGAGTACTATCACGCCGTTGGCTGTTGCCTACCTGACTTCTCACTGGATCTCACTGACATCATCATGCGGATCATCTGTCGATCGTTGTGTTTCGCCACTGCGTGTCGAGATTCACTCGAAGACAGATCCGCCGCATCTGACCAGTGGACCGGATGGCCGGGCCATCGGCCGCCCACGAGCTTCTCCACACGCCGCATGGGAAGAAGATCACATGCGGCAAGGCCAGGGGCGACATCCTGGGCCCCAGTCCAGATTCCTCCGACTTCCCTCCAGTGCCCACCCCGCTTTTGCTCTGTCAAGTTCGTCAGCGATTCGTCGATCGGCGCGTCTCAAGTCTTGATGACTCGAGCATCTCCACCAGCCCATCCCAGAAAAGATGTCCCGGAGAGGTGCCTTGATCAAGGAGGCGTCGGAGCGAGCGCAGTGGACCAGGGGGGTGGGCGGGGGCCAGCCGTTAGTTCGCAGCTCGGGATGGGATCCGCCCGAGCAAGCCGAGGAATAAATTCCAGGCCTCCGATGTGGAGCGAAATTCACTTCGTTTTTCACTCGCCGCTTCGGGGTCTTGCATTGACAGAAATCCGCGCAAAAATCCGCTGCAGCACGTCTGCAAGGTCGGTGCAGCGAAACCTTCAGATGAGGACTCGGAGGTTGATCGACCTCCTACTCTGACACGTCGATGAGTGAATTGGCCGTTTTCGGTTCGCGAGAGGGCGTCGCGGCCGTTGTTTTTGCGGGTCCTAGGCCGTTTTCACGAAAGGGTGGTTTATTAAAGGGAGGTTTGTCCCACCGCCGAAGGAAAAGGTTCTCATGCCTCTACCTTTCGGGAATCGAACCGCGGGTCTGGGCCTGTCGGTGGTGTGTGTGCGTGTGTGTGTGTGTGTGTGTGTGTGCGTGTGTGTTGGGGGGCTCCGATGCCCCTTGGGTTAAGTCGGGCGCGCCCCCCTACAGGAGGAGTATTTAGAGATAGTCCAAATATAGTCAGGGGACGATATGTTTCCATTATTATCGCCTATGTCTTTTTGGGTGTTTACTTTTTCATTTTTCATCCACAATCCGCCTGTAGGGGGACATGCCCGACCTAACCCTTGGGTCAGCCTCTGGGCCGCCTGGGGCCTCCTGGGGCCATGCAGGAGGCCAGATCGAGCCAGTTTGGACCACCTTGTGTCAGCGAGAGGCCATCTTCAGGCGTGTGGGGTCATCTTGGAGCTTTCGCTTGCCCCGGCTTTGGGCTGGGTCGGGCGCGGGCTTGCGGAGCTGACAGAGTCGGGCGGAGGGGCGCGGGGGGGGAACTTGACCGCCGGCGTGGCCATTTTGGGTCAAGCGCGCTCCGCGTGCCCGGGGGGGGGGGCTTGCCTGTAGAAATTCTTTCTTGGGTTGCGTGTCTTGGGCTGGCGGGCCCCTGGGCCGCGGGCGCAAGACAGCAAGCGCTGGGGATGTCTTTCCATGGGTGGGTCATTCCGCGGTGCGGCGCATGGAGCACTGGTGGCTGGACGGCAGCTGGGGCCGGGCGCACGCCCTCCCTCGGCAACTGGAGACGAGTGGCTCACGCAGATCCGCCACGCCCTGCGCGCGGCTGGACTGGAGCGCGAGACGGCGGCGACCGTGACGCTGCACACTGCAAAAAGGATGTTGCTCACGTGGGCGGGCACCAGCGGCCTCTTCGGCGAGCCAGAACTGGCCATCCTGGGACACCACCGCAGCGCAGGGGTCGCGAAGCTCGTGCGGGCGTACAACACGTCAGAATTGTCCGTGCCTGTTCAGAAACTCGCGCAGCTCCTCGAGGACATCGCAGAGGAACGCTTCTCGCCGGACGCACCGCCTGGTCTACAGCGGGCGGGTTTGCCGGCAGCCGCAAGCTCGCAGCCGGCGCCAGCGCAGACCGCTGCGCAGGCGCGGCCCGCCGGGCCGCGACCAGGCCCGACGCCCCCCCTGGGGCCAGGCCCGGATCCGCACGGGTACATCGCGGCCGCGGGCGACAGCGGCGAGCGGAGGGCTTGCGTCCACATCGCCGCCCTCGTCGAGAAGGGCTGCGCGAAGCCGAACAAGATCACCGTCCAGTGCGCGCGCGGGGTCGTGACCAACCTGTGCGATTTCCGCCTGCGCAGCGCCGCGTGGGACGATGGCAGCATGTTCTCGGACGCGAAGCTCTGCAAGGTCTGCATGTCGCGCGCGCGACGGGCGGCCGCCCGCTGAGGCGGCCGGACGCGCTCGCGAGGAAGGCGACGCAAGCGGCCCGCAAGGCCAAACCGTGTCTGGGTCGCCGTCCCCGGGGGAAAGGAAAAAATAGCGCCCCACCCCGGCCTAAGTTCCCCCCTACGGGCAAGCGGAACGGCCTCGGCGCGTGGGGCCGCAGGGTGATTGCGCGACCCTGCAAGTAATCAGAACAAGCTGCGCCAGGCCTGCACCATTACACACAGCGCCACCCCGCCCGCGCCTTTGCGGGGCTTTCCTCTCCCCGCCCGCTCGGGGTCGGGGGGTGGAAGGCTTGCCGGGCTTTGGCAACGGCGGAAGACGGCTATGTGCGTCCTGGCGCCAGTCGGCGCGACGGCCGCAAGGCCGACCCGAACTTGCGGACCCCCTCCCCCTCGCCGGGAAAGGGGCCGCTGGCGCCCGCGCCGCGGGAATGTCTTGGCCGGCTGCCCGCCCCTCCCCCACCCCGGCTGTCCAACCGGCTCTCCGCTTTGCCCTCCTCTTTTTTTTGTGCAAAAAAAAAGCCGGGCCGTTCACCCAGTGGGCTCGCGGTCGGGCGTCGGCACATCCTCGGTCGATGCTGTCCCAGAGGCCGGGTCCGGCGGGGGAACTCGTCGCGGCCGCTGTCGGGATTCCGTCCCCTGGGGTCTCCCTGGCGCCCCCTCCCGCGTGCGCGCCCGCGCTTCCCCCCCCCTCCCCCGCGCCCCGCCCGGTCGGGTCGGCGGGGGGGGGGGGGCTCGTGGGCCCCGTGCGGGCCGCGGTCAGCGCGCGCGGTCTCCCGCCTGCCCAGCCGTGCGTATGTTTTTGGACTCGCGCAGCCGTTACTCTCGCGCGCCGGGGCCGCGCGCTTCCCCGCGCCGCCTGCCGCGGAGCACCGCCCCCGCCGCCGCCCGGCTCGGCCGTGGACTTCGAGGCGGAGGTCGCCAAGCTGCACGCTGACGTCAGGCAGCGCCTCACGAACGCCAGCCTCACCAGCGCGCAGCGCGTGGCTGCCTGCGTCGCACTGGAGTACTTGAAGGGCCAGAACGACGTCGTCACCGAGAAGGCGGTGGACGCCGTCTTCGTCGGCGCCGCGCGCGCGGCCGTCGAGGTTGTCACGCCTGGAACCGGCCATTGCGCTGACACCGTGGCTTTCTTCCGCTTGTGCTTCAACGAAGCGAACAAGAGCGCCCCCGCTGCCGAGCCGGAGGCCACGCCCATGGAGGCCAAGGACCTTGGGCACGAGGACAACTACGAACTGGAACCGGCCCACCGCAAGCGCCGCCTGGACGCCCTCTTCGAAGCGCGCCGGCACGAGGTCGAGGACGCTCGCCTGCCCAGCGCCCGCCTCTGGGGGCGCCACGAGCGCATGCGCCGTGCGCAGAAGGAATGCGTCCCACTCTGCGTTGACAAAGTTCAGTCGGCTCGAGGAGGTTGTGAAGCGGGGCGCGGCCCGGTCAGCACCCTAGGCCCGGTACGGCGCGGCGCCTTGGAAACTCCCGGCCACGCAGGATGCGCCGCCCGACGCGCTCGAGGAGCTTGAGACCTGGGCATACATAGTCGAGAACTTGATTTACTTGGTCGGCTGGGTGGCGGACATCAAATCCCTGGACGTGTTCCACCAGCGCTGCTGGGCCAAGGCCCGGAAGAACCGGGCGCCGCGACCGGGGCGCCGCGACCCCACCGTCGCGGAGTACCACGAACCCTACACGGCATGCCAGAACCAGCGGCGCAAGGCCTCACAGAACGGCGACAAGCTCGACGACGCCATTCTGAAGTGCGTCCCGCCCGACAATGGCGAGCTCGACGTGGCGCTCGCCCTTGCCCCGCGCCTCGCCGCGCAACCCAGCGCACCGACGCTCGGGGCCGCCGGAGGTTCCCAGGCCGCGTGCCCGCGCCTCGCCGCGTTCGAGGGCGCGGACGGCCCGGCGGCGAAGCGCCGGCGTCTATCCAAGGCGCAGAGAAAGGCGAAGAAACTGCAAGCCGTGGCCCCAAGACTCGCGCAGCGGCAAGGGCAAGGCGGCCGGCATGGGCAAACCCAGCGGCGAGGGCCATCCAACCGGCAAGGGCGAGACCGAGAAGTCTGGGTCGCGGGGGGGGGCGGTGCCGCTACCTGCAGGAGACCGGCAACTGCCCCTTCGGCAAGCGGCGCTGGTTTCGCCACACTTGACTATCCCCCGCAAGCGAGGCGGCGGATTCCCAGGCCGCCGCCACGCAGAGCGGCTCTCTGCCTAGCCTGGGGCGGGCGCCCACGCGGGCTTCGGGCGCCCCCAATACCACGGCAACGCCGCACCAGCCGGGCGGCTCGCCACGCCACTCGCCGC